CTGTGGCTTCCAGCCAAACAAAAGACAGGCATATGAGCTGAACATTTACATTAGGTACATACACTCCTTGGAGAGAACAATCATAGGAGAATAGAAGGGTTGTGTGTGCACAGGGACATAGCTCAGGGGCAGGAGTGCATGGAGGAAAGGACACAGGGAAGAGGAAGTGGGAGGGGAGCTTTGGCATTGTGATAAATTGTAGTCAATATCATGAGACAAAATGTATGTGAGCTGCTGTATGAAAAGTGAATTTGCTCTGTAAACTTTCACCCAAATCACAATTTAAAAAATAAAGGTGGCTAGAACAGGTTAGCTACCAATTAAAATCTGGTGTCTTAATTATCTGTGGATTTGTTTTATATACTTTCTTCCTATCAAGACCTATAGAAAGAAGAGACTGGACAAGAATTGGGGAAAATTTTTGAAAAACTAACACCTGAAGTGAAAAGGCACCTTCCCCTCTGCATTCTTTCCCTCTCTGTGTGTGAACAAACTTCAACCACCCTTGTTTCTGACTCTGTTGATCCTTAATCATACCCTGACACCAATGAGAGCCCTTCTCATGACATGCACTGCCCTTAAATGTGAGAACCTAGAGTGTACTATAACAAAGAAATCTGATGTTGCTCACTTCATGGCCTGAGTAACTCTTAAGGGGAGAAGTTATGGGTACTATTTATAAAGTTGTGGTAAAGAACTCATTTAGCTTGAATTACCAGGTCTGAGGCTCAGGAAGTTACCTAGATGTGCACTAAACAATTATAGTCTAAAATGAGGATAGAAACAACACCTCACTTACCTGGAAAGAGTGACTAGATGATTTCTCCAGATCCTGATTCATATCTAGGGAGGTACTTTCTTCCTTCCTGGCACCCTAGCGTGTCTATAACCAAAGAAGAATAGAGCTTACCATGGAAGAGCCACTTTGCATGCTGCTTCGGGCTAGCTTCTGACGATGTAACTTCACTAGGTGGTCAATGTCTTCTTCCTCTTCTTCTTCCTCTTCCTGAAACAATAAATAAAGATTCCGATTTAAGAAAAATGAGAAGAGATTCCTTTAGTGGAAACTATAATTGTTGCAAAGTTCTGAGCTCTCATGTGCATATGAACCCACATATTCTTATCTTTACATGCCTCCCCATTTCAGGATTCCACACTATATTCCAACCATGTTTCTCAAATCTCAAAAGGATAAGGTAAGAATGTGTAATGTTTTTCCTAGGAGCTATAACTATTTCCCATTTACTGCCCCAACTCAGTCATTCCTTTAAATTTTAATATGAGTAAGTATTTATTTGAGTTCCCAATCATATGTCCAGCAATATATTTGAAGATGAAAGAGATAAAGAAGGCAGTCCTTTTCTTTAAGGCAACCAGGAGCCAGATTTACTTTAGAAATTCAGGGTGAATCAAGATTAATGTTGCCTTTTCCTAAAGAATTAAACGGTTTGATGGAGAGTATCAGGCACTTAAACCAACTCTAGATAAATAAAATGTCATATAGTGACCAAGCAAAATACAAGGGTACTCACCATATCCACACTGAGGCCTGGGACAGATTTACTTCTGTCTCCCAAGGAGCCACTTGCATGTCCCACATCTTCTGGGCGAAGATCTATTACAGATTTAGTGTACTCTGAGTAGAAGACCAAAAATTCAAATCAAAAAAGGCTTCCTAAGGAAATTTTCTTTTTTGGTTACCAGGGCTGGGAGGGGAGGGGAGGTAACACTGATACACAGGTAGAGACAAGTATTGGTTTGGGTGAACCAAATGTGAGTGATCTACATGGTGGCATTGAGGAAGAGGAAGACATAGAGAGGTACATGGGAGGTACAGACAACAAAGATGAACCCTTCTGCACATACAGTACTGAGTTGTCAGTGAAGGCAAACATGGATATATGGGTGGATAGATGGGTGGACAGGCTGAAGTATTAGGTATGTCTATGAAGGGGGGAGTGTGCCCATAATCATGTATAGTGTTGGCAGACAATGATTCTACAAGTGTATTTGTATATTTTGTAAGAATCCCCAGGTATATAGTAGAGCTGACAAGGGACAAGGTTGTAGTCACTTCTTGGCCACAGCCAGCTATCCACAGGGAGTGAGTAGTTGGACTTGTGGGCTTGGGACCATAGTCACGGGGAACATCAAGCTCAACTGGCATAACATACTACACAAAACATTGTTCCACATCCTACTTTGGCAAGTAGCGACTGGGATCTTAAAAGCTTGCAAGCGACCATCTAGATTCAACGCTGGGTCTCTCCTCATCCAGAGTGAAGAAGAATGAAGAAAACCAAAGATTCATGGAAACAATTAGTCCAAGTGACTGGTACACCATACGATCATTAGCCTATATGACTATAAAACCACAAGAACTAGATCGTGCCCAGCTACCACTGTCAACCACTCAGAGGGGGATCTATGTAGGAGATCCTAGATACAGTGGGAGAACAATGTGGAACAAAACTCAAAATCATTTGGAGGAAATAAAAAGGGGGGGACCAGATTTGCTGGTCTGATAGAGCCTGATGGAACCACTGAGACTATGGCCCCTAGCTGCCTTTCAGGTCTGGAATTGAACCCACTCCTGACTCCTGTGGCTTCCAGCCAAACAAAAGACAGGCATATGAGCTGAACATTTACATTAGGTACATACACTCCTTGGAGAGAACAATCATGGGATAACAGAAGGGCTAGGTATGCACAGGGACATAGTTCAGGGGGCAGGAGTGCATGGAGGGAAAGACACAGGCAAGAGGTAACTATCAGGAGGAAGTGGGAGGGGAACTGTTGCACTGTGGTCAATTGTAGTCAATGTCATGAGACAAAGTATATGTGAGCTGCTGTATGGAAAGTGAATTTGCTCTGTAAACTTTCACCCAAAAAGGCTTCCTATTCTCCATTCCAAGAGTCTATCAAGCATATTTAGAACTTTAATCTCAAAATGTCAGGAAAGGAAACCAGCTACCTGAAGGCCTCAGTATTTTTCTGGTGTTCTTCTTAAATATCATTTCACCCTCATCCACAGATACCACATTTTGACCCCCAGGCTGAGTTTCCTAGGAAAGAAGTTGTTGTTAGTTGTTCTTGAATTAATTTCAACTCATGGCAATCCCACGTGTGCAGAGTAGAACTGCTCCATAGGGTTTTCAAGGCTATGACTTTTGGAAGCAGATCACCAGGCCTGTCTTCCAAGGTACCTTTGGATGGATTCAATATGCCAACATCTCAGCTGGTAGTCCAGCACTTAATTTTTTTGTGCCACTCAGGAACTTCTTAGGAGTAAGGACAAGGAAAGGGAAAAGGGTTTGGGTAGGTGAGCAGAGTAAGGAAGGACAACCTTAGAAAGAATAAGGCTCAGATTTTCACTTAACTATGAATCAGACTTGGAGGAAACACTAATGCTGTGGAGGTAACACAAAACCTATTTTCTCACATCTCAACCAAAACCTTAGATAATGCTCCCAAGTGACTCTGAACTGAAATGTTTAGTTGAAGTCCCAATGCCAATTTTCCCTGACAAAAAGAGGAGAAAAGGGAGAAGAAGGAGAAAAATGTGTCAGGAACTTAAAGCTAACCTTTTCTACTTGAGATTTGGGGGCAGACATTTTCTTCCATTCTGGAAAGAGGCCAGATTTATCCAGCGAATCTCTTCTGGAAGTAGATACAGAAGTTATAAACCAACCTCTTCCACCTTTTCCACATCCCCTTCCATCAAGGGACCATCTACGGATGGATAGCTACTGGCTTGGGGTCACTGTATTTACCAAATCAGATGGTAAACTTTATGTACGGTCATTAACTGCAATCCCCCCAAAATGGCTCTCAGATTCCATCTTGTTTAGCCACATTTGTAAGAACTACAAGCCATTTCCTCACTCCCTCCTGGTCATGTATTTCCCTGCTCCCCCCCATCAGGTATTAACTACCTTCCCCGTAACATATTAAGCCATCCTTAGAACAGTTTTAACAATGAAGTTTGCTAAACAACAGCATCTTATCAGAGCATACACAGGTAGTGGTCATAGGGCACTGCCAGGGGCCCCCTCCTGACCGGGGCTGGCCTTACCAAGTCTGCAGCCAGTCATGTAGCCCTCCATTCCTAGTCATGTAGCCTCCATCCCCAATTCCTCAAACTCAGGTATAAGTATTTCCACAAAATGGGAGGGGGTTAGCAGTCATCTTGGATCCGTTCCATCTGCCACCGCTGGACGCTGAATTGCCAGCAATATTTGTAAGCCCAGTTTCTTTATCTTTTAAATCCTTTCTCTCCTGATTCTCTTTGTTTCTATTCTGAATAAACGTTTATGTCTCTGCCTATACCTCCAGGAATGTTTTTCGGACTTTCGCTACCTACTCAGGAGGAAGTTTTAACCTCCTTGGAAAATTCGCATAGCACTTTACATCCGATTTACCTTGAGGGATGCACAAGATCAGATAAATGACTTTACACACACACACTCACTCACTCACACCTCCATTCCTTAGGGACAGTAGCAGTCAATTGCTGCTGGACAAGGAGGAACTCTTCAAGGTGCAGCAGCCCATGCTCCAGGCAGCTGTTCAGAGCCAAAGCAGTAGAAATGCTACTGAAAGACTTCTGATGAGGTCAGAGAAAATACTTCATCCAACTTCCTAGTGACAGAAATCAGGAACACCGAAGGCATAGGAGTCCTGCATCCTGATGCTAGAGAACAAGAGGAACTCTTGGCTGAGTGGAGGTGTGGAGAAGGGGGAAATCTCACCTGGAGGTGCTATCGTAGTCAGCTGTATAGCTATCCAAGCTCTCACTCTCAGCCTCTAGCACGTTCTTTCCACTTTTTAGCTTTGGCACTTCAAATGGCACACTAGAATAAAAATGAAGAGCCAAATATTTAAAGGAAGTGGGTTCTCTTGCTTCTAGGCAGGCCTCCTTGGAATCTGTACACAATTGTAGCCCGAGTGACCTTTCTAAAATGAATATCTGAGTATGCTTTTAAAACTCTGCAGTGGTTCCCCACTGCTGTTGGGATTGATTTCAAACTCTCTAGCATGGCAAGAAAATCCTTACGATTTGACCCCTGCTTACCTCCTCAGCTTCATCTTTTACCCTTCACCTCTCTTCACACTTCACATTCCAGAAAGATGAAGTTCTTTCCCTAAATATCCCAAATTTCTGTCTTCCCTTTTTTCTCTATCTGCATGTTCTTCTCACAACCTCTACTTTTCTTCACCAGGTTGATTAACTCTATTCCTTCTTCAGGTCTCCCCTCATATGTTAATTCCTCCAGATTTCTTTGACTACACCCCTACACCAAGTCTGGATTGTAACTTTCCTATATGCTCCCAAAGCACCTGCATTTCTTTGTTGCAGTCTTCATATGTGCAATTATTTAGTTAATGTCTTTCTCCTCCATTAGACTAAGTTCCATGGAATCAGGGACCACGTATCTTATTCACTGCTATGTTCCCAGTGCCTACTAGAGAAACTAGCATAGAGTAGGTACTCAAATATTTATTAACTGAATTTTTGAACAGATGCTCTCACTGAAGCTTAAGGTAGATACATAAAAGAAGCAATATTTTTTAAAATAATATTTTATTGTGTTTTTGGTGAAATTTTGCATAGTAGATTAGGTTTCTATTCAACAATTTCAACACAAATTGTTCAGTGACATTGGTTACATTCTTCACAATGATGAACATTCTCATTATTTCCATTCTGAATGTTCCTTTTGTTACCAGTAATCTAGTTTTCCTACCCCCATTACCTTCTTGTTTTTTTTCCCCTTTAAAGCAATCATTGACCTTGACACATTGTGACAAATATAACTAATGTTACTGAACAATTTGTGTAGAAATTGTCAAATGAGAACCTAACATGCTATGTAAACTTTCACCGAAAATACAATGTAGTTGTTCAATAAATATCTGTAGAATTAATGAATGTTAAAAAAACAGTAATTGTTGACCTTTTGGTTTCATATAGATTTTTTTTAAAGGAACGCACTACTAACAGGTGCTATTCTTTATTTTGTACTCCAACATGATGTATAGCTAAAAGGTGACCTCAGACAATGGTTTCAATTCAAGGTTTAAAGACTATTTCTGGGCAATAATCTTGAGGAGTACTCTAATCTCAACTGGTCCAGTAATGCTAGATGTTTTAAGATTTTGAGGTTCTGGTCCACATTTTTCTCACATTATATCAGGATCCATCTATTGTGCCTCTGATCAGAATGATCAGTCAGAGTAGCTGGGCACAATCTAGTTCTTTTGGTCTCAGGGTAGATGAGTTCACAGTTTGTGTAGACAGTTAATCCTGCGGACTAGTTTCTTCACTGTGTCTTGGGTTTCCTTCTATGTCTTTTGTTCCAGATGAGTAGAGACCAATAGCTCTACCTGAGATGATCGCTCACAAGCTTTTAAGACTCCAATAAGCAGTATGTTTTGAGGACAGTATTCATAAGATCAGAAATCTTTTCAGCTTAATCACCTTTTTGAAAGATAAGGCTGGGCATCTAACACAGCAGTACTCATCTCCAAATGGAAGGATACCATTCCTGGGTACCTCACCTCAAGGAATTAATGAGAGCAGCAAAAGAAGGAAAGTAGAATTCATTCTTCCTCAAGTATCTCAAGTAACTTTACTTGTATACTTCAGTCTCATGGTTTTCTCTTCCAACTTCACTGGCTGTTCTTTTCAACCTCCTTTGCTAGTCCTTCTTCATCTCTCAGACCTCTAATATTTGGATTATATCCAGGCTTATTCCTTGGGCTGCTTCTCTTCTCTATCTAGACTTATCACTAAATGATTTAATCTTGTCTCATGACATTAAATATCCTTTATAAACTAATTGCCCCTACATTTATCTCTCAAACTCCAGACTTGTATTACTAACAGTCTACTCAACATCTCCACTTGGATATCTAATATACATCCCAAAAACAGCACGTCCAAAACTAAACCCCGAATCTCCCTCCAAACCTAATTGTCCTTCAATTTTCTCCACCTCATTAAATAGAAAAATCCATCCTTTAATTTTCAGGTCAAAAATCTTAAGAGGCACCCTGTATCCTCTCTTTCTCTTATAATCCAAATCCAATCTATCAGCAAATTCTCTTGGCTCTATTGTCAACATATACTGAGAATTGGACCTCTTCTACTACCATTACACTCAGGTCCAAACCACCTTTATCTAGCTCTTGGACAGTTATAAAAGCTTAACTGATCTCCCTGCTTTTGCCCTTGCCCTCATACAATCTATCTCCACCACAACAGTTAAAATGAGCTTTTATAATATATATCAGACATGGAATTATCATGTGATCCAGTAATTCCATTCCTAGGCCTATACCCAAGAAAACTGAAAACAAAGATCCTCACAAAAACTTGCCTATAAATTATTCATAACAGCCAAAAAGTAGAACAACCTAAATGTTCATCAGGAGATGATGAATATATATATATATATTTGTTGTTTTTGT